TCCGATATTTGAAATATTCTAAAATTCAGCATTCTCCTTATTTGAAATTTTCTAAAATTCAGGATTTTCCTTATTTGAAATTTTCCCAAATTCAGGATTTCCCTTATTAGAAACTGTCCTAATTTTACAGAACTCTTAAATTTCCCAAAGATAATAAAATTCTGGACCATACATATTATGCAAATTCCCATTTTTTTTTAAATATTTTTCACTGAAACTTTGTCTCTGAAATCTCTGCACTCAGAGAGTGTAAAATTTTTGAGATCTTTTTACTCAGAGAGTGTAAAATTTTTGAGATCTTTTTACTCAGGAATGTAAAATTTTACAGATCCTTTCACTCGCGAGTGTAAAATTTCTGGGATCCTTCCACTCGAGGACGTGAAATGTTGCATTTGCAATCATCGAAAAAGACACAAAAAGGACTTTCCAAAATTCCAATATTTCTCTGTGTCTAATAAAATTTTATTTTCGAAAAAAATTCGATAAATCTTTCAACGATATCTGAATTGCCGAAGCCCAAGTTTGTCCAAGAGTTCGCCGGCCGCCGCGACATGACGTTTCACTTGAATATGTGTACATATGTATAAGTAATATGTATAATTACGTACAGAAGACAGACAGAACGTGAGACACATATAGGTACATGTACACGACCGGTGGCTATATTATCGTAATAAAAACGGGATCGAGGGCTGAGTCCTAAATTGGATCGTAAGTATTAATATTTACATCTATTTCCTCCCGCGGTCGTACCACACCTTCTCTCCATGCCGTATTTTATTTTATCAACCCTCTCGACCGCCCCTCTTAACGTTTACAATTAACTGACATAACAAGAGGTAATTGTTAGTTACGATAAGAGGTAATGAGTAGATATACTATTCGCGAACGTTTACTCGCCGCGTTATAACCTCGATTATCACTCGTAAAGCTCGGTGATTCGATGACGAATATTTTACCTTTATATTCTTTTTTTTCTTTAAATACAACTAGATGCATGGAGAAGCAACGAGGAAAATTAGTTAATTGTAATAAGAACACGTGTCTTGTTTATCAAGGCTCTCCTTTCCTTTTTTTTTAATCTTTTTTTAGAACATTATCAGAAGACGGTATTATTCAATGATTGACAGTCAGGATTACAAATTTGCACTTTAAAGTCAGGTATTAACGATTGGTCAACGTATCGATTAATTAAAACTCAACTACTAATTTGTACACGTTAAAACACACTGCATTATTACAATTAACCGTTTGTAAATTCGAATATCCAACCATACGAGGACTAATATGTATGAAAAAAACGAAAAATTCTAAACGATCATTCGTAAATTCTGCGCAATGTGTATAGGATCCTGAATGAGTGTCGAGTATTATACAGTCCTCTAATACTGTAGGCCGAGTTTTTATCACGGTGTACAAACTTCCTGGCCTCCCCCTTAATCTCGAGACTTGGAAGAATCGCCGAACCCTCTTTCGATGATTCATCGACCGCATCGCGAACGGCAACGCGTGTAGCTGACATGTTAATTAATCACACGCGGCAACACGCGAGGATTAATACACGTTCGGCGATCAAGTATACCTGTTTTTTAACAGACTCGCGAATCGAGACGAATTTCATTGCCTTTATGCAAGATATCTCGTTCGTTAAGTACGGAATATCCCACGACACGAAAAGAAAAAAAAAATGCTCGAAGAAGGAATGACTGCAGTATTATATCTCTGTTCGACTTCTTCTCTCTCTCTTTATCTCTCCCCTTACACGTGTGATCCGTCTTGATTCGCGTAATCAAGTTAATCCCCTCTATAATTCAATCTCTTTCTCCCATTCGTCTGTTCGAAGATTCGTCGCTACGACGGCGCACCAGGCCATAATCCAAAACCGACGGAGGTTCGAGGGACGAGTTGGTTTTCATTCACTCGTGCTGCAGTATCTCCTGATTTGAAGGAAATAGAGAAACCTTTCAGATAGTCTGATCTCTTCGCACGGAGCGTTCCAAACCGGGGCCCGTTTTCTCCTCGAAAGAATTTTTCAAAAATAGGAAAGGAAATACAAACGATAAACTCTGGCTAAAGTGGAAGACGACGTTTCTGAAGTCTGGATCGTTTGAAATGCTTCACCAAACCCGGAGAATTCTTTCCAACAACGATACTAGGTTAATACGGAATTACCTGGTCGACGTTTTACCAGCTCGTACGTGTTCGACATTCTTTCGCGTGTTGCAAGCCCTCGTGAGCTTGTTTACTTCATCAGAAATGCACGCACCGGCGAATGTACCGTGTATATATAATCGCTGATGCGTTCGTTGCAAATTCTACGATGCAATCGCATGCAGAAATTCGAGGATGCGTCTCGATGTGTCGCAACCGGAGGATCGTTCGGGTCGTCGAGTGGAAATGTGAGTCAGATGGTTTGGTTCGACGACCTTCTTTGTTAGAAATTGGTTGGCCGTTTAATTGTCCTGTTAAACCCTTCGTTTTACGAGTATTTTATTACGCTGGTCGTTTGAGCGACCAGCAAGCGTACCTTCTTTTGTTTCCGTATACCAAATTGAAGATAGGTAGTTGGATTATGAGATTTTAATCCTCCTACGACGAGTGCAGGGTCATTCTGACTCGACAGCGATAAAGTCGGACGACTTGGATTACGTTTGGTACAGGAAATACACCTGTTTTACGTATCACGTGTAAATAACCAAGAAAAATGTCAAATATATATAGTTGAAAGTGTAGAAATTTCTACCCAATTCGTTCTTGAAACGCGTGTACAATAGAAATTTTGGTCAAAAACCGAGGGTCCTTCCGAGGGTGAAGAAACGATTTATGGCGTTACTCGTAGTATAACGGTCAACCTTTCCCGAACAAAGAATAATATTCTACACTATAGAACGATATTTTCCACGATAAAATTTGTCCCTCGAATCGCCGATTTCTCTAATTCGTCATGCAACCTTCTCTACGACAATAGATCATAAAATAATCGCTAGAAGATCGTACTATTCTAAGAGCAGACCAAGATGCTCGAAGCGAATAGGTTGAAAAGAAGAAATTTTCATGCATAACTCTTCGAAAGATTCTCTACTCGAATCCGTTTGTAATGAAAAGGGGGGAAAAAATTGGAAGAATGATCGGTTTGGAACGCTCCGTGCGCGATTGAATCCGGCGCTCCTTGGTTGAATTGGACAGAAAAAAAGACAGGGACACAGACACGAGACGAGACTAGAAACACGAGGATTGTACGGTGACAGACGCGAGGGACTCGTTGGTCAGACTTCTTTCAGCGGCTCCTCCGCTCGTCCTCGCGACGCAGACGACACACGGTTCGCGACGCGTCGTCGTCTGGGGGCTGTTTTATTAGTTACAAAAAACCCTCGGCCACTCGGGGAAAACATTTACACAGTCCGATCGATCGGTCACCGGTTTTCTGGTGCAGCACACTTACCGCCTCGAGGTGTTGGTCGACGAAGATACGATAACGAGAATCGGAGATCATGAACGTTAATTAACGTAGACGGGCTACGGTTTGCGCTGTCTCTATTATCACTGAAGATACACGTTAGCTAATATTTGCTTTTCTTCGCTAATTCTCTTCTGATTGAAGATAATCTGACGGTATTGGTTCTCTTTGCTACCTTTTTCCCAACGACTAGTTTTTTCAGCTTTAAATTTTAATTTGCACGTAAGATAATCTGACGGTGCTAGTTTTCTTTGGTACCTTGTTTCGAAGGACTAGTTTCTTAAGCTCTTTAAATTTTAATTCAAACGTAATCATTCAGTCATGTTTTTCTTCTTTTCCGAAGGACTGGTTTTCCAAGCTCTAAATTTTAATTCAAACGTAAAATAATTCTGTTCGACGGACTAATTTTTCAAGCACTAAATTTTAATTCAAAGAAGAGATAATCGTTCAGTGATATTTTCCTTCTATTTTTATGGCCATGATCTCGATGAATTTTGCTATTGTATCTGCTCGAGTGACCAATCGTTCAAAGCTACGATTACCAACTTACCATTTCCGTAGTGAGACTGGCTAGTGCCTCCTCGACGGTGGCAGCGATCCTTCCTCCGTCGTCCTGACGTTGGCTGCCCCTGATCGGCGTGGTCGGGCAACCTAAAATTATCGTTAATCGTCATAGTGCAAGAGTAAGATCAGCCTGTTGCAGCCGCTCGTTCTCTGGAGAGCGCAGAAACGTGTTTTAGCGGTAGTGTTTTCGAGAGTCAAGTCTGCAATCTACGAGGGGGAGAAATTCTTTTTTATTCGACGAAATGTGCCTCGAAAGGAGCAGCGAAAACCATTCTTTCTCTTCTATAATTACCAAGCATCGTGCAACGGTGCCTTTTCAAATGATCCTTTCGAGGATTCGAAGGTATTACAACACAAGATGCACCGACAATAGAAAAACAAAGCGTGCATCGTTTCTACATCGATGTCTACGTTCGTGACAAAGAAGCGGCACGCGTGTGGGTGGTGTGTACTTGTGTAACTATTTAACGATATTCAAAACTATACGTATGCGAGTGTGTAAGCAGAAAAGAAAAGCTCGAAGAGAAACGAAAAGGTTTAGAGAAAAAAGAGAGACAAAATTGAAAACTTATCTCGAAAGCACATCGGTTCTAGGCGATGCCCGTTCCTGCTTACGAAGGAACCATAGAGAACAGGTGAAGACAAAACATATGCGTACACGGGGATTTTCTTTTTCTTTTCTTAATGAGAATGAGCTATCGTGTTTCTTTTCTTTTTTTTTCTTCGTTTTTATTTCTTTCGTAATCGTCGTTCTTTATTGTCGCTCTCGTTCTCGAGAGAATAACGTTCCAGTGTATCTTTTTTTTCTTGCTTTTTGACAAATCTTTTAAGGTCACCTAGACAGGGCTAAAGAGATTGCTGTTCGATTGTACTTGTCATGGGAACAATTAGTAGTCGATCGTAACGTATGTAATTATCTAAGGAAACAACACCCAAAGCTGCTCGTCAGATCTCCACGTTTTTTCACAACTGTTTCATCTGGTTCATTCGGTTCTCTCTGCTTCAGGTCTTCTGACGAGCACCTTCGGTACACGATTGAAGGATTCAAGAGCATTTCCATTCATAACACTTACAGACACAATAACCTCGAGACATGATCGAAAACACATAGGCGTTGGGATTAAATTTAGGCACTGAGTTTCTTTTTTTTTTTTTTGTCTCCTCTTACTTTTTCGACTTCGATTATTCAACGAGTGGGTACAACGCAACAATACGAACGAAATCGAAGAAACGAAACTGGTCTTTCTTCTTTCGTGTATAAATCGGCATATATCACAACGATGATTCTCGCGGTTAAATTAATCTCGTTTAAAGTAGAGTCAGAGAACGATCTGTAAACTTAATTTGCTCTAATACCCATTGAACTCATCTCGTTACGTAATTATCGTTAATACACACAGAAAATGCATTCGGATTTAGGTGGCTAACGACAAACACGTGTTCGTCTCGCGTCGCGATCACAAAACGACGATTTAATCGTTGTTTATCTCGACGAGAGTACGCGTTCAACTACTGTTGCGCTGATCTACGGTATCATACATACTTGGTACACAGTAGGAAGAGGTTCTCTCCCTTTACAATGAGCAGAAATCACGTTAATTCGATCGATATAAATGTATGTATCTCCTTTTAACAGAGTGCTTCGAGAGAACAACACGGACAACGACAAACAACGAATACTTTCGCTCGTTTCAGAACACTACCTTAAATCGTGGCACGTTAAATCAGACTTCCGGTTGCTGGCGCGAGGATCGTCACGCTGATTGCCCGTAATACTCGATGCAATTAGAACCTCTGCGTGTTTTCTTTCTTCTTCCTTTTTTTTTTACCACAGATACACAGCCGTGTCGAATTAAAACGCGTTCATTCTGTTGTTAAATTGGCCGACGGTGTATTTAGTATATCGTTAATACATTTCTAAGAAACGTTTCGCTCTTCTATCTTGTTACAGCTTGTTCGAAATCAATTGACTGCTCGAGGCTAATATTGCTTTCTACTGTATCAACGACTACGGTGAAACTATCTCTTTTACGATCAATCTAGAAGAAAAATTCAAATAAATCACACGCTACTCTACTCCTACCTACTGAACTAAAGAAACGAAAACAGAAATGAAAATCTCTAAGGTAACGGTGTGTCTCTCCTTACGAATTACCTTGAGCAACCATCAGATTCCATTGAGAACTATAGAGACAGGGGGTAAATAAATTCAACGATAATTCCTTATAAATTCTACGTTCAGTCTCTCGGAATGTTACACTGTGATACGGGGGACAATCAACGAGACGGTCACGCTCGATGCAAATCCTTTCACCGCGAAGGTCGAAGAAGTAGAAGAAGAAGAAGAAGTAGAAGAAGAAGAAGAAGAAGAGGACGAAGGAATCTTCGAGGCACGTTGTGTGAGCCCTCAGGCGACGTAGTAGATGTTGAGCGCGTACGGGAACTTACCTGCGTCACCGCTGCTGGAGCTTTCGGTGAAGGAAGGTGTACCCTCTGTCCAGGTAGGCGTCGAACCCTCTGCGCTTCCTGCTGGAGGTGTCCAGGTCAAACCGCCTCCGCCTCGGCTGCTACCACCGCTCTCTACGCTCAACGACGACTTCGTTTCCCTTCCACCACTGCCGCTTCCGCTACCACTGCTCTCCAGGTGGACGTCGGATATGCTGGAATATTTCAGGGGAAATCGAATTTTTTTCAAGATTCTGGGGATAAAGGGGAGATTTCGTGAGCTCTGGAGAATGTTTGCGAGAGGAATTTTGGTGCGATGAATATCGGAGGTTTTTAATTATTCGGTCGTTTAATGTGAAATTTGGGATTTTTAACCTTCCGTCCAGAGATCGGCCTTCAAGAGGTCCTTTACCAAGTGGAAATTAACTAACCATAGGAATAATAGAAGAACATGAGTGTAAACAAAAAACATCAACATCATTGCGCAACGCATCGCGTCTATATACATAGATGAATTATGGTTGTGCCTGAGAGATCAGGTGCGCTCGACGGAGGGTTAAATATTCGCGAGTTCTATATACATAGATGAATTATGGTTGTGCCTGAGAGATCAGGTGCGCCCGACGGAGGGTTAAATATTCGCGAGTAGATCGCTTTAGAGTTGAAGAGTTGAATTAGATCTTTCGGATTTCTGATCATTCGGAGCTGAAGAGTTCTAAGTTCCTTCGCGTTTCCTTAACCCTTTCGTCACCAGTGGAACGCATACGTCTCACTCGACTTCTCGAACGAAAATTGATCTCACTTTAGTATCTATCACAAACGCGACGATCGGCAGATAAATAAATTCTTACGAAAAGAATTACAATCGCGGTGATGGGGGATGAATGGGTTAAAGTTCATGAAGCTCTTTGTAAGTTACTGTTGAGAAATCTAAGGACTTTTCGAATTCAGAGTTCAAATTTAACTTTCACAGGGTGAATTACTCACGTTTCCCCTTAAAAAAGGATGAAAGAAGGGTGCACTCACCTCACGGCATCGTGATAAGTTTTGGTGAGGGTGACATGATGCACGACCTTGTTGTGCTTCGATTGAGCACTGCTCAGACTGCTCGTTAAGATGGTGGTCGGTGCACCCTGTTGAAGTTGACCACCGGAAGCCAATGTTTGGTCGTTTGAGCGCACTGCATCGTCAAAGGGCGGGGGCGGGGTGGAGCAGGTGGAAGGAAGGGTGCCACCTACAAAAAGCGCGCTACAGTTAGCCCTAATGAACACAATATAGTGTGCTTGCTTCGTCATCGAGGGTTCTAAGAGGGTTCAGGGTAGAGTCGTTATAGCGTTCGAGGATCTCGTTGAAAAACACGGGGAAAAGGTGGTCTTAAAAACAATTTTGCACCGGATTTTCACAAATTATCTTTTCTCCAAACAAACAAATTAATCAATACACTCGTGTACTATCGTTACGATTTTGTAATACTTAGTGTGTGCAAACAAAAATACTCAAAATGCACAATAATCCGTTGTTAGTACCAAAGAAAATCTTTTTCGTATCGTTTATTTTTTCACTAAGTTAGAAAAAAGGAGGTGAAAAGTATCGATCGTTTTTACGTCCAATAGGGAGATTGTTGTGGGGGTTCGAGTACCATCTACTTGACGCTGCGTTACCAGTGACCACAGTAAGCACTCGCTAAAACGAGACATCACGAGCATTTCTAACGTTTGCCAAACATTAAACAACACACTGTGCGAGTTACGCGCGAGTCGTCGCAAAAATTGCACAAAAATGGCGAAGCCTACTTAAAAAAAAAAAAAAAAAAATTAAAACCACCTGAATCGTTTATACGTAAATGTGTTCTTCTTCGGCAGGAACGTTGTTATATTGCATCGTTCGAGTGGAGGATCGAAACGTTAGAAATTGATCAGCACTTCCTATTGAAGTCAGTCCGAATAAGCCATTCTAGTTTCACGTAATGGTACAACGACTACGTTCCAAAAAAAAAAAAAAAACACTATCTCTACTTGCGTGTCTACAACAGGCGCACAAACAGCGAACTACATTAGCCAGCATGTCACAAAGGCGAATTGATCTTTCGCTCGAAAGAAGGATATTTGCACCGTAAATAGAACACTCGTGTGAACGTCCCTTTATTGTGGTACAGAGAGCACACCATACAAACACACCAATAAAATTCTGCATTTTTTTTCTTTCTGATACTTCGACGTAAAATCTGTTCTTTAATTCAACTTTTCAGAAATAGACGTAACCATCTATTAAATTTTCTCACTTTTCTCTCTTCTTCCCTTTTTTCATATTTAAATACTCGAAAAATTCGTTCAACAAGTGCCGTGAGACGATAAAGTGCAATATTCGTGAAAAAATAGTATTTTACATATTATCAAATTCTATCGGATAAATAGCATGTTCTTTTTTTTATAATCTTTTTACGACTACTTCTCGAATACAAAAGTTACGTCTATTCTTCGTGTCCTAAGAAATGGTACAGGAGGTCGCTACGCATGCAGGAACACACTTGAAAATCTAGACAAGAAAGAAACCAATCCTTACACGCGCTACTTTGTCAAATGTGGAACCTCCACACGTGCCGAGGATAGTCGGATCTCGACATAGCGAACGATACCTCGTCGACGCCATAAAATCGACGTTGCAACGGCATCGAACTCAGAGTACACAATAAAACAGCAACGACAAAGTGCATCGTCTATTATTATCGGTATGAAAATATGTAAAACATCGAACTACCAACTTTCTTTTTTTTTTCTCTTATTTTTCATTTTTTTTTTCCCCGTTCTCGTAGCTAACAGCGGGAAATTCCGAATAAATCTTGATTAGAACAGATCTATGTATTATTACAAACTGACACACGTGAGAGATCGAGTGATGAGAGATGGATAGAACAAAGAATAACAACTGAGAGTGTATTTTGCGCATGCAGGAATGAAAAGTTAGTATTCGAAGTAATGTTGGTTGGGTGTTTAATAGTTCCTAATAGGTCCTCTTCCGTAATTCTTCTCCGTTAAAAATCTCGTCAATTCTCGAAAATAGATCTTCTCTGTCAGGTAGCATATTTTGGTCCCTTTATGTTGATTAGTAAAAAAAACGAAGGCACATTTGGGTATGCATCTCTTTACTTGTATTTCCTCGATTGAGACCTTTCGAGGCCATGAAGAAACGAAGTGTTCGGTATCAAAACGTTGGAAGAAGGTTGCTCACTCGTAGCCTTCGAAACTCGAGATTTCTCGTGTACACCTCTGTGGAATTGTTCCCTAGATCTAGAACTCGACTCCTCGTCGTACACTCGATCCATTCGGGACACCGTCGATTTTCTACCAGTGTCCACTCCAGACGAATAAACCACTTCGTTGCCAATGCTCGACCTTCTCTCGTCGACTTTCGTCACCAAGAAGGTTCATCGCTAGTCGATCTCGTCACTTTCTCGTCGTTATTGTTACCCCCATAGCTAGGTCTCGAAGGCACCGTTCCATAATCCTCAACCTTCTCCCTCCGAAACTTCTCTTCGTCGTCGTTCACCCCAGCTGAACCTCCGAAAGCTTGCACTCTGGCCGAAGGTTCAGGGGCTAGCTTCTTCCTCCTCTGAGCAGACTTCTCCCTAATTTTCCTCAGCAACTTACTGTCTCTTCTACGCTCGGCGAGCCTCTGAACGTCGATCTTCCTCTCCTCGACAACTTTCTCCTGCCTGTCTATCTGACCGATCGATCTGTCCACTCTGGAAGCTTCAACGCCACTTCTGTCGTCCCCAATTCTGCTCGCTCTATCCGAACGACTGGCCAACGCCGTGGTGATCGTCGTGAGCGAAGCCTCCAGCTCCCTCTGCTTCCTCTTCATCCTCTCGTAGTACGTCTCCGAGTGCTTCTTGTCCTTACGCGACATCTTGTAGTTCATTAGCTCTGGTCTAGACGCAGGGTTCAAGAAGTACGTGAACTTGGCCATATGTTCGTCCCTGGAGCTTCTTCGTACCTCCGCAGGAGGCTGTCTATAGACCGTCTCAGGTCTGTTATCCCTGCTTCGTTTGAAATTCCCTCGTTCGGGTCTGAACGGATAAGGACTGGTCCTGATCACGTACGAACCGTTGACTTTCTCTACGCTGACGAACTCCTCCTCGTTGTCCTCGTCGTAAATATCGTCCATGGGCCAATCGTTCCAGCGTCGAGGCGTGTGTTCCTCCGAAACACCTTCGACAGCTATGGTACTGGTATTGGCGTATCGATCGCGCAGCATCTGGCTGTCGTACGACGGTGGCAGGTGGGCGGGTGTCGACGCACGTGCGTGCAACACGTTTGTGTTGACAGTGGTGGTGTAGTCGGATGTGTTGTTAGCGTTAGTGAACGAAGTGGTACCGGTGGTAGAAGAGAAGTGAGAAGAACGGGTAGCGGCGGAATAGTTAGTAGAAGTGACGGCAGACGTAGCAGAAACGTTAGTAGTAGTAGAAATGTAATCGGGTGTGGAAGGATGGTGCAGGATGCTCGAACTGTCATGCAAGCGGTATCTCGTGGTTATGGCTGCTTCGTCACCTCGGCTGGATGTGATAGAGGACGCCGATGTGGCGGTTCCGGTGCCGCGATGCTCCTCCGAGGACCTCGCGGTCCTCGATTGACCCGTGCCTCTTGGTGGAACAGGCGGTGGAATCTTGCCAGACGGTACCAAATTTGGATTTGGCGGACTGGCGGCGGTTCTGCCCTTCAACACAGCCGGATAGCTCGTTACCTTGGCCGAGGAACTCGTCACCTGCGGTTCTTGATGCGGCGGCGTGGCCAAGGTTAACGGAGGCGGGTTCACCGGGCCTGAAGCGAAGTTCACCGGGGTTGAAGTAGCGATCGGTGCCGAACCACTGGACATCACCGTGCTCGTTGTGCTGATCGCAACGTCGCTCGTGATCGCTGCTTTCCCAATTCGCGGATCCGAACCAGGGTTGCACGAGGTGGTAGGTCGACGTTGCAGGTTGGTGGATCGAGAGCACAGGGGGTTGGCGCGTGCAGGCGACAACGGTGACGGGGGAAAGAGACAGACAGAGAGATAGACGGGCGGGCAGAGAGAAACAGAGAAGCTGGGTGAGAGAGGTCACGTGACGAGTGAGCTGTGTCAGGTTGCATCGAACTTTGCAATTTTCCGAGTTGCAATTTTATCAAATTTATTAAATTTGTTCAAAATCTGTTCAAACAATTTTACAGTTTCAAAAAATTGAGGATGAGCTTGAGTTCACCGTGACAAAGACACCACGTGTTGTCTAACTAAGACAGATAAATTTTGGTTAACCCTTTCGCTGCGAAATTGAAAATTTGTACAAATTTCAAATTTGTTACACCGAATGAAAATGGAAACGTGCAAAGGATAAAATAAAGAACTAAATTGAAAGGGTTAATAACTATGTTTTATCACAAATGCCTGGAAAATTGTGAGGTACGTCAGAACGAACACCCTGTATACGGGATGAAATGTATCGTGTTGTACGCTTTGCCAATTGATACACCGATAAGACGATTAAGTACGAAGGTTTCGATGCAACGTGACATCGCTTGTCAGATAAAAATATTAGTACGTAAGAAGTAACGAATAGGGTGACTGTGATTCAAGACCGATTTATCAGTGACAGTGATTGATTCAAACTCTATATACCACTCTAAATTCCAATATCGTATTTATACATATATTATTCCTATGACACAGCTATCGCTACATCTCATTCGTTGATTCATCATACTAAACAACCGGTTGAATCTTCGTGGAAGTAAATCGGCACAAGTGAAAGAGACCGCGCAAAGAGACAGAAATAATTACGGACATTAGGAAAGTAAGTGATCGTATGAGACTCACCAGCCTTCGTGGGTGACGTAGCATGCATTGTCGAAGTTCCGGTTGTCGGCACCGCTAAACCACCATACAACACCATGTACCATTACCGTATCACCATATGTGCGACTCTTGATCGGACAGAGAAACTTCCGCGATTTTTTCCCTCTCGACGTATTCGTATAGGAGAGAAAAAAAAAACGAAGAATACCGGCGTTCATTGTTCTCTTCGAGAGAGTACAGAACGAAGTACGATTGTTCCCGTGATTTTCAAGTCTCTCTGTCCAGTCACGGATCGAACGTGTCCCGAAATAAAAGAGGGATTCGAGCAAGGGACGTTCGAGGCAAACAGAAGGGGGTATTCGATGATCGGAATGCGCGCATTCGACTGACATTCACGATAGAAAGCTGTATTATACGTACGTTCTTTGCATCTGTAGACAGAATCGAACGGATTTCGAAGGAAAAATTGGCAGGTGGATGAAACCATAAATCACCGTAGTATTGGACTGTGCTTTTTTCTTTTATATAGGAGGGGAATGTATCGAGTATATTGTTATATCGAGCGTGTCAGGCGATTCGATTACTTGAAAATTTGCCTCAGCTGTAAGCCGCATGATCTCCCGGTTTTATTTATACGATATCAAGCTCGATAGGTTCATGAGATAATGGATTACCTGGCAAACACGGAACACGGACAGGCGTACGTGATTTGCACGTGAAAGCACGCGCGAGCAATCTTCGTAAAAGCGACATGGTATCTTCTGAAAGGGATCGGCTGGCATCGGGACGGTTCAGTGGATTTTCTCGGCACAGTGGTGACGGATTGGGATCGTGGTGAACGTTTTGGACACGGGGAACTTGGGTATGCCGGATCTAAGTTTATTGCACCGATCGCTGTGCCTGACTACACACGTGAAATTCAGCGCAAAGCCAATAATAAAGTATCGTGGAGAATATTTCTTCGTATCATCCGCCGCGATTCTCAGACCAGCTTCGATCTCTCGATATTTTCGTAACTCCTTATTGCTATTTTTACGATCATTTCAAACGACAAATATTTGGAAAAGAGAGATCGTTGTTTTTACTGGTACTGAAAATCGGTAAACCTCCGGTCGCAGTAACAGATATATTCGAAAGAAAGTAACATATGAAATAGTATAAATCGATCGAACGGACTCACCAGTAGAATCGAAGTCGCCGTCCAGAGGCCTGAGAGGCCTGGTTATGCTTTTTCTCTTCGACGGGGAATGTTTCAACGCTGAAACACAGAATCGACGTGTCGTTAGTTTATGCTCGATATCAATGACAGAGGGAGGGTGTGTTAACATCGATAATACTGATGGAAATCGGAACGATTAATTGGAAGAGACTCAGATCGGTGGTGCCTATTATGTATCGTAAAACAAGGGAGGATATGTCAAACGAGTTAACGCTACAAAAAGCTGACGTCAGTGCCGTAGCAAGTGTTAGCTTATGCGTGAAGCGTCGTATGCTTGTTTTGAAAAAGTTTTCACCGCGCTTCGTGTAGTACGTCGCGAAACGCATATTACGCACGTGCCATTGGCGTTCAGGATACATTCTATTTTCGCACCGTATTTACCGGGGCAACGTATTGCAATTAGTGGACGCCATAAGCACGAGGTCATTTAGAAGCCATTAACGTGCTGATAAAGCTGCCGTTGATAAGCTATCGCGATGGAAATTAGTTGTAGTCGTGGTTCACGCATTGCTGATCTATCATCTTTCACTGAACAATAAGCATTTTCTTTTTTTTCTTTTTTCTGTTAACCTTTCCACTGCTGTTCGCGCTTTCAATATTTTCTTGCACTGTGTCCTTGGCGCCTACAGCCTTTGTGAAAATTTCGTGTCGAGGCCCTGTTTGGCACACTTTTACCTCAATTCGATCCTTTTCTTTCTTAAATCTTAATTTTTAAACTTACAAAAATTTTAAAAAGCCGAAACAAATACTAAAACATTGTATAAAACACAGTGAAAGGGTTAACAATTTTCCACCGAAAGTTCATCGCCAATTTCTCCACGAAACGTTAATTTCCTTCCAAGTGAGCCCGTGCGAAATGAATCTCGCTACAGCACTGCCTGCCACGACTATATGTATATAATCTAAGCCTTCTCCATCGTCTGGAGCTACGCTTCTTTGATTTCTCTACGTTACCGGACAGAAGGGAATAGACGCCAAAAAGAGAGAACTACTTGCGATAAACAGGGAGGAGAGGTCGTCGTCTCGCAACCGTCTAATCTCCTCGACAGCGTCTAACACACGTCGTTTTAATGGAAAGCTTTCTATAAAGTTCCCTCGCGCAGTCAGAGATAAAGCGCGAGACAACTCTCTCGGGTCTAAATTTTCAAACAGTTACGAGATAGTGTGCGTGTTGTCGCCCATACGGCTACTCTTTCCTTCATTTATTCGTTCTTTTTTCTTTCTTCTTCGTGGTACATGCGCCTCTGTTCTAATATATGTAACATACGTACATGGAACACACACGGTGGAGGACGTACTATCCTGGCGAACGGATAAAACGTGTTCTCTCGTTCGCTCGAGTGTTCCGCGATCGGCGAGAACACTGGTAATCGCTCGAACAACCGCGATCCCTCTACAAGTTTTCTTTCTATACGAAATTAATTGCCGCACGATGTTTCTGGTCTGATTAGAATCCGGACAACGAGGTTAACTAGAACGAGCCGCGGAGTCTCGACGATGCCAAGGATCTGTGGAAAATTATACCGACGGGATAGAGGTGGCAAAAGGAACGTCAGAGTCACAGCCACGGAACGAGGCGTTCCTTTCTTTTATATACCTCGTTCACTCCATTACCAAAGGAATTTTTCTACGTATTCTCACTCCGACTGTTTGCATTTCAGCTACGATCAACAGATCTGTATTGAACTAGGACGAGGAATAAAATTCGTCAATGTGCATCGAAACTCTGCTGTTCCTTCTTTTCTTTATTCACGGATCCTGCCCCCGAGAAACAGTATTGTGCTTTCTTTCTTACTTGCTTTCAACTTACTTCGGGATAGAGATCGTGGTTGACAGTAAAAGAATTTGAAAAAAAAAAAAAAAAAAAAAAACGAAGAGAAACGGGACGTGTAAGAGAGAGTTCGTGTGCGAGTGTGCTCTAGAGGAGAAAAGTATATCCTGGCGATAATTCGATTACGTCGACGAGATTTTGGAGAACGATGGGTCACGATGTTGAAAATTTCTGTCGCGATTAAGCGGGTTATATGTTGGTTCCTTAGATGCTGTTTCGAGAAGAGGAGCTGATGACCTAGATTCACGCAGAAAGAAAAGAGGGTCATCGATCAAGAGAGCGGGTGGTTATTCGTGTACTTGAAAAAATTGTGAACGTGTCGAAGCGTATTAAAAAATGGAGAGAGAAACAGAGAAATAGTGGAAGAAGAACGAAGGAGGAGAACTCGAACCAGGCATACAAATCTCACGATGCATCGCAGAAGCAGAGGAAAATAAACAGTTATAGAAAGAGGTGAGAGATAGAATTTGAAACGAGAGTGAAATTTCGTATTCTGATATTTTTTGGCTGATTACACGAGAAATGTGAGTTGGATTTAGAAAGAAGATACTTCGTGGATAAGCTTATTGTTTAAACGGACGTTCTACTGTAATCAGGAAAAACGATCAGAGTACTGTTTACACGTGTACAATATAGAAAAACGTGGGGAATGCAGATATCTAAATGCTCGTACGTGTGTTTGGATTTATAAATATTGTAATATTGGAAAGTTCGAGACTGGTGGAAAAGATAATCAAAGAAGCGTTGCAAGATGAAATTCGTCGGACGCAAACTTCGCGTGTATACGTTTCACGAAGGAAAAAATAAAATTGCTATGGGATCGGTGAATCAGGAGCGAAAGGGTTGAAAAAGAAACTTCAAACTGTCAAACGGCAAAGCACATCTCAAACAAGATCAACGTTATATGTACAACATCTTTCAAAGGATTCTGTAACACTTGCGCGAAAAAATCTCGTTCGATCTCGAATGCGTTAGATTCGCCATCAACCAAAGAGAAAACCAAGGAAAAACGAAAAATGAAACGAACGGTTGCAAGGAAGCAATTCACACTAGACAATCTTTCCTACTTACGAGAGGTACGTGTAACATCTTACATCTAGAGTCGTAATCGCTATAATAAAAAGATTCGTTTCACATGCCACACAATTAGACGACAGAAATTGATCTATTACAAAGGACAGACTCTTCCAACTTTCTACGTATCTATACTTTCAGGTTTACTTCGATTCTGGATAGAGAAAAGTACCACGAATCGAGCAGAGACTGTACTTGTCAAAGGGTGAAATGAAAAAGCGTCTAAAATCGGTCGAAAATTCAACGAGATGCAAATAGAAAGGAAAGGTGGAAAGATAAAAAAAAAAGAAAAAAAAAACGACGACAAAGATCGAGGAGCAATCCAAGGGGTGTCAAAGGATGGACAAACCAGAGGTCGATACCAGAGATTAACAGATTAGAAAGAGAGACAGAGAGAAAAAGTGTTACGCATACAAGCAGAAAAACGATCGATTCGTTTTGGTTAAGAAAACAAAAGAGAAAGAAATGAAAAGGTTTGAAAAAAAAATAAACAAACATACGTACAACCATACAAAAATGGACAGACAGACGGACGAACAGACAGACAAAGTTACCTATGTAGCTGGTGACGAGGTTACGGAATTTGCGATGATTCCCCTTAATCTCAGGCAGGTCCACTTTTGGTATTCGATTTTCGAGTTTCGATCGGTAGCAGGTCAGATCAGGTCATTGGGGGTTGACACGGAAAGAAGTGCACGGGACACAAAAACATCAACATTTAGCTAACTCCGTACTTAAAACATCTTTTCTATATATACCGGATTTTTATAAAGGAGAACAAAAAAAAAAAAAAAGTGAAACGATCGACAGATCGATGTATACAGGGACTGCCGAGAATCAAAGTAGAGCAACACAAAGGTAAGCAGGGGAATATACACGTTCTTGCCTCAAGATCCAAATCGTAGATACGTAGACAGAAAGACAGAGAAAAGCGACGGTAAATAACGTATTCTTGTCACTTACGAATGGTTAAGCAAACAGTATATGCACGTATACTTGATACATATCCTTATGTATCCTATCCGCGAATCGATTCTTTTCCCATTGAACACGGGGGGATTCTCGTCGCGACGGAACCTCGATTATTCGAATATCTCACCTAAACGTATTTTCTTTCATCTTTGTATCCTTTTTATCCGTAAAACCTTGACCCGTAACCCAGATTTACCATTTTCTCTCTCTTTTCTTTTTAAATAAGCCACTCGTTAGTCTCGCCAACACATTTCCCGGCGACTGAATTAAACACATTTTCACAAATCGTAAATTCCACGCATTCTAATTGGCTGCTAAACGTACGGTTACTCCGACTTTGATTGACTTTTTAATTCACACGTTAGCCTGTACAATTTCTTGCATTTAACAACGGTGCTCCATAAAAATTTCCTCGATTTCGTTCGAATAATCCAGATTCCAACGAGCTGATCTAACGGACCAGTGTTCGCTGAACGAAATGCAAAAGTTAAACGTTAACAGAAAGAAACTTGGATGATCGTTTCGGTCGGACGGAAAGATCGACGGTGAAAAACAAGGGGATGGAGAAAAGAAGAAGAATCGTGTTCCTTTTTTTCTCTTTGTCACGACGTCCAAAGGGGTTCGAACCGAGAAAAAAAATCGTCTCGTTGATTCTTTTTTGTTCTTTTCTTTCTCATCGGATTCCGTACTTTGGGCGATCGCATCGCAAAGTGTACACGGTGTGAAACAGGTGTGGCGGTGATTGAAACCCAAACGTACGTTGAAACACAAACAACAAACACATCGCATGATACGCTATTTAAGACAAGTACATAAAGGGTGTAAACGCGATTGGTTGAAACAGTGCAGAAAATAAAAACGTGATAGATGAGTTCGTGGCTACGATGAGAGGGGGAGAGGAAGAACGTGAAAAGATTCACAGTAGATGAGATAGTATTTTTAGTAAATAGTATTACGTAGCGGTAGCAGTAACAGTGATGATGAATGGTGATAAACAGTGATAGGGAAGTAAAAAGAAAAAGAGAAAAAAAGAGATGGATCAAAGAGAGAGAGAAAAAAAAAACAGAGAAACAGAAATAGTAGAAAGAAAGCAAAACATACGTATATAACTGGGTAGGCTTTATAAATGAAATGAAGTTGTAAACAGCGAAAATGTTTATTGCAAAATATATAAATATGTACATTGGTGTCCACGTTGAGCCGTTAGCTGAATATTTTCACAATAAAAAAGAACGTTTGTGTACTCTCTACTTCTACCATTTTTCATCTCTCTCTCACACTCTAGCGCTCTCTCTCTTTCTTTCTCGTATACTCGCTCTCTCTCTCTCTGACACATCCGTAGCTAATCTAGCTCTTTTGCCAAAATATATGCTCCGACTTGGTGTTACACGCCGATGAAGACTACGTTCACGAATAGATCGCACAAAATTATTCGATTATCGTGTTAGAATTAACGACTGCGCACAGGTGTTAAAATGTATACATGTTCGAATAAAGTTTCACAGCTCGTTTATCGTTAGGAATAGAAATAGGTTTAGTCGAGATGAGAAATTTTGTGCGATCTATGACATTCTTTCGATAAACAGGCTTCAGCGAATCGCCGGTGATTGCGCTCTCCCTCTCTCTCTCGTTCTTTCTTTCTTTCTCGCGGGTTCGTAAAATAGTAACCACTGTAAATCACGAGCCATTTTACTACTCTGTACAAACTACTAGGAACACGAGGAAGTAGTTTTTACAAAACTTTGGCACGTTCGTCTTGGTAGACGATCTGAGGAACTTCTCGACGATGCGAACAAACCTGATTGAAAAATCTCACTCGATACACGTATATGTAACGTGTATATATATATATATATGTATAAAACGGTGGCAAAAAATATTTCTCTGTGCGTTAGAGACGATAAAAATTGTACAGATAATAATTGCGCTTGATCTAGGAAATTTCACGCTTGATCATCGACCCGTTTCGTTTCTGCACGAACTCGATTTCAATAAACTCGTACGCTACTCTCGAGATACGTCTCTCACATACTCGTTGCGTATTAGCGAAAAAAACATTTCTGCTATCGTATTGGCTAGATACTGGCAATAAAATACTCAGCTACGTGTTGTGTGGACACCAGTGGACTGGTCATTTTGTGCTCGTTTCAAATGGCTCTCTCTTTTAAATGAACATCTCAAGATAAAACATGTCTGTTTCGATAGGAAATGCGAAGTGAAACGATGAGATCAATGGTTCTTTTTTTCTTTTTTTTTTTTGGAGAGGACGAAATATAAATGGCAAAGAAATGTTTCGCAAGATCGTCGTGGAATTGGATGAAATGAGAATTAAACGAAATAAAGAGGTAAATCAATTGAAAAATAATATGTGTGCCGTGTTAGCAATTAGTTACACCACAATAAAAAAACCCAAAGGTGACCAACTTGACATTCAATTTAAACCCAGGATGTTTGATCGGGCAGCGTTGATTATCAAAATAGGATGCAGGTATCCGAAAAAACCACGTCGAATCTGCTAAGCTAGATTCGTCGAATTTCTATACAGTACGGAACAGCACACTCGTGACTCGAAATTGAAATTGTCTCTTTCTGCGTGCGTAATTTTCGGATATCCGCACAGGATTTTCATCGCATTCTCTGCAGTCACTTAATTACCTTAAGTCACTATTACGATTGTTAGAATTTCTTTTTCTGGACGGCTAAATTTGTCTGTGATAAATATATGGCATGATGGAATGAATTCTCGCTTCGAACAGCTTTTTTTTCCCTCTCTCGATAAAACGTAAAGATCGAAAGTAAAAAAGATAAATTAAGAAGAAAGGAACGATGTATATATGTATGCTGTATAAAAATAGTTGGACCGAGTCGATACTCGATCGTGATAAATGGAATCAAATGGAAGTTACACAATCGGTTGATCCGCTAATAATACTATACGTTTTCCGATATTTAAGCTTACCTCGTGCATTACGAACAAATCAATTAACTGTTCTCACTGAATCGAACAAATTGTCCAGTGATAGCGATTATTATAACAAGAAAGCTAAAAAATATATACGTATATGTAACTCTAGCTTATAGCTTACGGCTCTATACAAACTGGAACCTTAAACAAAGATCATTATGACGCTACTTAATTGTAAATGGCAGAATTATGCGCATCCACCCCCATTTTTCCTATCCGTAAGTTTTAAAATGTCTCAAAGATTTTTTCGTTTTTTTTTTCTTTCTTTTTCTGTAAAAGGTACTATGCGATAAACATTGTATTGAGTGTAATATAGTTGAATCACAGTAATTGATGCTATTTACTATAAACAGAAAGATGTGATTAATCACGGTCAGCTGGCGATAAAAATACTTGTTACAGTATCTACTATTCTACTTAAAGCCTAGAAGTTTTTTTCTCTCTTGTACTTTTATGCGTTTACACGAGATATTAGCCGAACTCTCGATTCGGCGTGATATATATATACATATATATACTTGACGAATCGTCAGTCGACGTTAAGTAACCCAAAAAATATATGTAACTGATTAAAAAATCGCTTACAAATTAGGAATGAGCCTTGTTCAGTGTTAACATTGAGGTCAAATTTGTTAGAAGAGGCTGATTAGGATGGTACTTACGTGACGGTATCTTCTTGAATACAGTCTTGGCCATGAAATCTTGGAAACGCTGCGCGTAAAAACCTGGCCGATGTACCGACACAGTGTCCTGTAAACAAATGTAAAACAAAAACAACGGTCTTTAATTGATACACCGTAGAAGGCACGCGTAGCTGAATGACAACGTAACAAGTAAACATTTAGTAAAATCGTCGCAAGTACATCCGCAATCGTCGTGTTGGGAAAAAGGGGGAGGGAGAGAGAGAGAGAGAGAAATACTAATATTACTTACACCATCGTGTATCATCGACTTCCAGGTGTGCTCGAGCTTTTTCTTGAGCCTGTAACTTTGCAAAATATCAATAATACCAAGGAAGAGTAGCAGGCGTTCGCCGCGAGCGTTGCGAGCAGGAATACCACCAGGACTGCTAGGAACACGAACGTAATTAAAATCACGTTATTAAGGCCGTTCGCTTAGTGTAGAATCGACGTTTAGTGGGGAATGAAAACACGATACTCACGGTACATCGTCCTCCTCGTCGATCGGCTCGCTTTCAGCCTGAATACTCTCCATAGCGGTACTGTGCGCAACCAACCTTTGTCGGTTTATACTTCGTGATCGGTTCAGGGCGCTGGCACCTGTTCTTTCCTCCCGTTCCCTCTCCCTTTCCGCTGGAGTAAATCCTGCACTCTCACCTCCGACTTCGCCAACTTCCTCTTCTGCACTCGCTGATAATTTCTGCTCCTATTACCATATGAGAATTACGCATACATTTGCATCAAATTATACTCTCGTGTCTTCTTTTTTCCACTACTCGCTTACCGCTTTTTCTCTCGCAGCCTGGTCAAGGTTGTGAATACCAACGAGTAAAGAATAATCCATGATCTTGAAACTTTCCAATACTCGACAATCTCTCTGAATGGTCTTCACCAACGCGTTATACGTATCTGCTTCTAAAAAGATCCCCTCGGGATGATGTTCCATGAAATCTAAATCTTTGTACGTCGGTGACGATTTTGATCTTTCTGTTTTCGATGCCTGCAGATTGAAGGAATATTTTATTAGACTCGTAAAAGAACAGATATTTGTGTATATGTAACGTGAAGTAAGGATTGCTAACCTTTCTTTTATACGTCGACCCTTTCAAGTCGTACTTCTGATGCAGTTTCACCGACGAAGGCAGAAGATTATTCATAGCGACTAACCTAACATTTTTACTATTACACCGATAGCAATACAATCCGAAGAATTTCGGTAATAACGTCCTTGGATTTTGATTTAGATTCTACAAACAGAAAAGATCATCTTTCCAATGAATTGTACTCTTCAACGTAGAACCACAATGTGCCCGTTGAAATCTCAGGCTCACCATATAATATCCTGGAAGAAGCGTCTGTAAAAACTCTCCTTCTTTGTGTTGCACAGTCTTTATGATGAACTCATCATCATCTGTTAGATAAAAGATACTTCCACTAGCGCCTGGGTTCGATAATTCGCGTAACGGAGCGCTACACATCGACATCTGAATATTCAAACGGTGTCATTAGGATGGGCGGTTCGTTTGCAAGCGGAAGAAGAAAAACGGTCGTCGTTTTACGGAGAGAGAAAGCTTAAGGAAGTGGTGATCGATCGATCCTGTTCCTTCGTAACTCTTCCGCGGAAAGAGTATCGTTATACTCTTCGATACTCACTAAAAAATCGTCCGGTTGAATGCCGAAGAGATCCCGAAAGTAACGAAATGCAATGGGTGCGTAGTTCTTGAACTTAAACTCGGAGAAATGATGAGCAGGAGTGTGATTGGAACCCTCGCTTGGGAAGTTCGTCGTCTCCACTGTCATGAAATCTTGCATCAATAAATCACGTTCTGGTTTGCTCGCTAAACCGCCTACCGCGTGTTGGATGCCTAGCTGTATAGATCCCATGATTTGTGTCGTTTGGATCTAAACGGTGGCGTGAAAAAAATAAAAAAAATAGTAAAAAATTCGTTCCATTCAGGACTAAATTAATTTGCATAATTTTCTATTATTTTTATTATTTACATTGTCATTTTGTTTGTTACGATTATTACGATTACAGGTAGTTTGGTATTATTAACTCTCATCGGTATCTGCTCACGTACAGATGTTATCATTACAGGTTGTTACGGGACACCGTCCCAAGTAAACAAATTTATCAAGCCTCTTTACGGGACAATAAAACGTCAATGCGTTCCTATGTAACGTACCTTTTTGTACGTGATTTCACCTCCCACTCCAACTCTTCTGTGGCCGATCTTTCTTTCCCGCTCCGATTTGTTCCTCGACACCCCCACAGGGGTTTTGGGCCCTGTGATGCCATGTTGTGTTACCAAGCTCTGCAAACAATATACCGAATAATCACCCTGACACTACGATAATTACACACACGACGATTTCGAGGTAACGCAAATTCCCGAAAAAAGAAATCACGGAAATATACATTACCGAATATTACTTCGTATTGAAAATGAGCGAAAAAATGTCTCACGGTGATAAAACGAAAATTCGACGCAAATAGGTGAATCGAAGAAGCTGGCAGATTACACGAAAATTATTTTCCTCGCGGAACATACCTACCGAAGAAGAAATACACGGTCATGCGTCATTCAAATGAATAATTACACAACTATTCTTGTCTTTACACCCGTGACACGAGGCATCTCGTTCGCAAGACGAGCTCGAACGTCTTTACAATGAAACCTCGAATCGGCAGAGCAGCTCAATTGCCGGAACGTTCCCGCGCATTTTTTTTCTTTTTTCCCAGAAAATAACTACGCATCCATAGTGGACACAGTGATTCGAGATAAGAAAGAACGATTAGTCGATTCGAGAAGCATTATCTCGCGTTCCGATCTTCGAAGCGATAGAGTGGATCAATTAACGGGTGAAAATAGCAACGATCACGCCATTACAATTAATCGAACACGTCTCGAACGCGCGATCGATCGTTCGATGGGAAATCGAAGGGGTCTCGACGCACCCCTGTATCGAACGATCGATCCAAGATGGCCGAACGTGTGGGTAAAATCAGCGCGTCGAGTGAAGCGAGGCATTCAGATGTGGTAAACGTGTGATTTTTCTTACATAACGTTCCACCTGTATCGGCGATGTATAGTTCCGTGTCTGGTAACGTTACCCCGTTACTTCTATTATTTTTGTTTTATTTCTCTTTAAAATCCAAGTGCACGGCATTCGAGCGTTTAAACGCATCACGTTAAACGCGCACGTTACATAAATGACGGGAGCGTTCCTTTATGTAACGTTCAATTGCATTTATTATCCATTATATTTACATGTAATATAACAGCGGTTTTAATAAACGAAGATATAAAGGGAGGATGGAACGGTAGATATTTGTCTGGTGGAAATTGTCCAGCATCGCATAACTTGTATCTACGCAGTACCGCGTAAATAAAAATGTTTTATTATGAAACGAAAATATAGGTAATTTTATAAATAAAATAAAACCCGTTGGAACGGAAGAACGATGCGAAACGAAGGCAAGTCGCCTCAAGAATTTCGATAGCGGTGCCCACGTAAGGCTGTATTTGTTATCTCTTTCTCTCTGCTCGACGTGCACCGAGTCAGAGCGTGCAAGTGTCAATATTAATATCTATAGTTCGCGCGTGGAACGAGGATCGACTCTTCTCGAGTATGTTTGTCGTTCGTCGAGGAATTTTATTCTTCGTGTTTTTTCTTTTTCTTTTTTCTGTTGTATCAGTCTTTACTTACGTCGAGTGCTGTCACCTTATCCCCCGTAGATTTATCTGTAACATAAAAAAAAGAAAACAACGTGTTTGTTACATAGAAATAAGGTCACGTAACAGTTGACTCTGTCGGGGTTCGCCGCGCGCACCCGATATATATTACGTCGGCGTCGAACGAACGAAAGTCCCGTTTCTAACGCGAGCACCGAGGGGGACACGCGAAAGAAAGAATCGCACGGTTAAACGATCGTGTCGAGCAGCCGATCGCACCGGTATTCCGGGAAAGATGCGAGAAAGTGGAACGTTAACCGAGTTCAAAAACGAAAGTCGTGCACACGCTGATTGCAATGGGGGATTCACTATTGATACATGAAAAGAGGCATGTGTATACCGTTAAGTCCCGTTACTACAAATTTTCAGCCCTTGCTTCTATATTACACGAGAGGCGTTCGTCGTAGTTTCATTCAAACTTTGCTCGTTTCACTCGAACTTTCGTCAGAATGCTAAAAATCCTTTATGCAGGTTCATTCGCATTCGAGTCGCTGTTATTTTCGTGTAGCCGATTCAGTGTTGTAGAAGCTGACGCATCCGAGTGAAAAAGGAGAAAAGGTAAAATCTCGTTATTCCGAAACGACAACAATGATCTCAGAAATTGGCGAACAAAGGAAACGAAAAACGAACGTTCGAAAGAAAAAGGGAATTTCTAATAGATTTTTGACAGTGCTGGTGCTATATGTTACGACGGGTGACACCCATCAGTTGTCAAATAGCGAACTGGATTAAGCACAGCGTAGCCCTGAAAGAGCGTATACGCTGGATTGCCGACTTATCGGTGTACAGAACGTAGCGCGAGCATGCGGAAGCGAAACGAAAATCCGATCGGCCGCAATCGATCGATCACGCCTATCTGTCTGTCTCGTACGGCGCGAATTCCCCGAGACAGCCGTGAGAGATACGATGCCCGTACACAGGCGTCTGGAATACGCGGTGGTTTTATAGGTTATGTATCGCGAAACAGAAAGACGCGACGAAAGGACCTCGTACGAGGATAAGGTTTACTCACTGTCCTCGTCCGCGGACTGTTCCGGCCTGAGATGATCCTCCGTGGCCTGTACCGGGCCAGCGAAGCTTGTCTCTACCACCTCGATCACGTCCACATTGTCGCCCGAAGCCATTTTGTACGTGCGTGCCTTCTTTCAATCCACCGAGCAGCGCACTGACTCACGTACAACGACGACGATCTTCCTGACAGTTTCGCGAAGGCGCCTCCTCTGTCGTCGCTTTGCACGGCAGCATCTTTCGAGTTCGAGAAACACGGCACACTTAGGCCGACGCATGCATAACGCGCACACCCTCACTGTACATTTTTCTTTCAAAATTGCACTCGCGTGTTCTACCCGTTCTTTCACTATATCATGTCGGAGTGAAACAAAAAAATCGTCACCGATACGCGGTCTCAAAGGCTCTCCAGCTCCGGGCTGAGAACACCCACGAACCTCGAGAGCGCCTCCGGCCTCCCTGCTATTCGTCTATTGACCGGACGCCATCTTGCCCCGATTTCCATGCCATCTCGCGGCGATACTCGGTAATTACACGAGCCTGGGGGCGCCTCCATTATAATTGCCTGCATTTTAACGAGTTACCGCGAACACGTTTTTTTTATGACACACTTAACTATCAGTTAATTGGGCAATTCGGTAGGAGTGCTAAAGGTAGAAAAAATAGAAGAAACACGGATAAACAGTTAGGAGAAATAAGACGTACGAACGGAGAAATGATCTATCCGAGGAATGTTTACCTACCGTAGATTCTATAGTTTGTTTGGCAATAGTGGTCTTTCACCGGAAGATCGTGAATATGACTCGACGACCGTATCCGGCTTGAAATAGATATTGTCTCACGAATCAGAATAAAAACAAATACAAGGAAGCAATGATGAAATGTAACGTTATATAAGCCATGGTGACAAGTCGTTTCGTATCTTTTATCAATGAACCGGTGGTGCACGTTGTATTAAAACGACGTCGCCGGATCGCGATAAATTTGTTACGCGTACCAGATTAGCATTAACATACATAAACACGACACGTAAGTCGTGTGACACGCAGGTGGAACAATTTTATACGCTTTGTTACGATGATCCTGAAAACACCGATCAGCTGTTTTTTATTTACAAATAGAAAGTTTCTATATATTTACATTTGATAAATCTGCACCGATGAACGTGGTAATAAAACAGCAGCGATATTAATCAACGAAGTTAGCTGCGATCCAAATACATTTGGTCACGCGATGAACTCGTAAATTACCAGTCGGCGTAAAATTACTGTTTTACTTTGGTCAATTAACGTAAAAAATCGTTCGTTCTCGTCGGTGTGATGTTTGCACAAGTAAGAGTTCAATGTTCCTTCAAATAAATCACGCACACCTTCCATGAACCGTCTTTCTCTTCCATCTATATTATTTCAGTTGTATCATGGTTAAATTTAAGTGGCCTCCCGTCAAGATTCACGTACAAAGAATGATCCTATTGAGCATCATTGGCGTGATATCATTTGGAATATTGAAGGGTCACATGAACTACGAAAGAGAGGTTACTATCATCGAGAAATCGCCGTCCTTACTCTATATAAACTCGTATAATCTCCCGCGTGCAACTGACTAATCGTAAGATCTCCGAAAAATAAAGAGAGAAGAAGACAGAGATAGAGGGGAAAAAATAACTAACACGTAATATCGCGAATGCAACGTGCAAGCGTGGCATACAGAGATTCAAAACGTGTTATGAATCATCGTTCGATTTAATTGTTGGCAAGAGCGTATGCTCTATCGGAATGACTCGCTAACGCCCGGTGTCATTAATTCATCGCGTCGAGGCATTGCTCATTAGGGAGCACATTGATCGTGTAAAATGTTTCACATAAAAGGTTTCGCTTAATGCGCGGCCCGGACGGCCACGAGATTTATAGCTGGCGATGTACAATTAATTATCATCCCGTTCGATGGAACTTTCTTAAGGAGAGTTCGGGGCGTTCTCCACTACCTTCTCTCCGCACTGTGTAAAATCTAACACGCCCCGGCGTGCGGTTGTATCGCTGATGCGTGTTAGAGATACCGGATGTTTATATCACGCGATGCGGTACGCGCGCGTATTCCAACCCCGCGATTTATAAGTACGCCGTTCAACGCGGTAGAACGATGATTAAGGATAATTCACAATACGCGTAACGACACGACGCACGGGACACGCAATTTTTAGACTGCTTATTTACACACGATCAGTTCGATCTTAATTACAGACACGAAACGCTTAATTAGAGAGAACACGACTTTTCGCGCCCTTGCCGATGGCAGAACGAGGCTAGTCAGAAAAGAAACGTAGATAAAATGTTGGGTTTGCCAGAAAGTACTCTGACTCGGAGTAGGGTGTTCTACGTTCTTACAATAGTATATGTTATTCAAAGTCTGTATCCTGTCGTTCGCAAAAGTATACGTTAAGGGTTTCGGGAAGAGCGAGGACGCGTCGTCCTGCCGATCCCTGTCCACCCCTACGCGAGCAGGCCCAGGGAGAATCCCGAAGCGCTGGGCCTGGCTTCGAGATGCTCTCTTCACCGTCTTCCGTACGGATTTTTTCACAGGTTGTAGTTTTGTTAATTAGCGGGATAGTCTAATTTCAGGATCGGTTCTGTTAGCACAACTTCAAAAACGAACACACGATAGGCTGTTAACCAAAATGTATTATTTAATGAATATAAGCGGTGACTAAGGTACTCGGGTGTCTGTCTCGCTCGACGGCTATAACGAGAGTGTCCTATCCTGCGTCCTATCTTGCGTTGCTCCGAAAAACCGTCGGAGCCCCCTCGTTCGACTTTCCGGGGAAAGGGCTTAAATATAAGCGGTGACTAAGGTACTCGGGTGTCTGTCTCGCTCGACGGCTATAACGAGAGTGTCCTCTCCTGCGTCCTATCTTGCGTTGCTCCGAAAAACCGTCGGAGCCCTCTCGTTCGACTTTCCGGGGAAAGGGCTTAGTTTATGGCACCCTCAGGTACCCGCGCGCTTTCTCTTCCTGGGTGACAAAGTCCAGGCCACCGCTTCGCCGCCGAAATCTCGCATTCCTTACAGTTCATTCTTGCAATTCTTCTGATCCATTTTTTAATTCTAATCCTCGAAATAAAGAGACGAGATAGCGAAGTTGTGTGTTAAACTATTTTCGAACTTTCATTAATTATCGAGATAGTCTGATTTCAGGATCACTTTGTCGGACTAGTTTTTACTGAATTAAATTTACTCGCGGAATTCTTCTGATTCATTTTTCCAATTCTAATCCTCGAAATAAACGAAGGAGACAGTGAAATCGTCTCTTAAACTATTTTCGAACATCCTATCCATAAAGTACGTCGCGGTGTGCCGCGATAATTAAAAAAACGCCCGAAGAAAGATATAAGACGAACACAGTGTCGCGTGTTGTCTCTGAAGCCCGAGTCGATTAATTTTCAACAGTTCCTTCACGCGAATGACCATCGCCAAGCTCGTTATCAATCTTGTTATCATCGTTCTCGAGCGTATCATCGTACTCCTTGTCGTGCGTTCCTTCTTTTTTCCCCGGATAAAAATCGAATTAACCCGATGCGCGCGATTTCTCTGCCTATATTAATCGTCCTTTACCGCTACGAATCCCGCTAGCTCCCGATGCCGGAAAGATCGCAAACGTTAGATCGAAATCGTACGGAGCGGATTAGCCGTCGAATAACAGAAACCATTTCTTACTTCTCGCGGCTAAATGGCAAGTATGCGAATTAAAGCGAAGAACGCGATAATGCCCGCGCGTATCTTAACTACGTGTAGAGGTAACCTGGGAGCATAGGTACGCGTGTAGTAACGCGCCAGGGAAAACGAGAGAAAAGGAAAGAAAATGAAAAAGAAAGGAAAGAGGGGAAAGAGCCACGCGGCGTTTCCTGTGCCCTCGATCCAACGTGTTCCTGCCGTTTCGCATTAAGTCGCGTGTTCCGTGGCTGTCGGGCCTGTTGCACTCTTACCAGAGATCACCCAGCTCGATTATTAAGCCGCCGATATTTAAACGGGATAATCAACGCTGACCTTAATTAGTTTGGTAAAAGGTTTCGTACATAGTTGCACGTGACGTTCTGTCGTACACGCTTTTCTAGACTGTCGTCGGAAAGATTGTCAAACCTGTTCAGGGATACTGTTACACGTGTGGACATTTTCTTGGCTTTCTTTTCTGAATATGGAAATATTCGTTGCGTGATCTCCTGACAAGGAAGTCCGGCTTAATTGCTATCGATTTGAAACGAGTAAAATATAACTACGTAAAGAATTAGATCATTTTTTTAAATTTGGAAAAATCGTTCCTGAAGAGGTCGGGGTAGCGGTGAGATTTTTTCTGACTTGGTTTTTAATGGTATCTATCTTTTTAAATGGGACGATACAAGAGTGGTGTGGCTTTCGTTGATTTTGTTAAAATTTGAAACATCTTGATTCTTAACACCTTCTACGGTGGAAAAAATAAAGAAGAGTGTTTTTTTTTTAAATAATATGACACATAAGCGTTAGAATTTTGGTGCAGTTCCTGGTTCTAATAAAATTTGAAACTTTTGGTTTTCATCTGTTTTGAAATATTCAACGCAAGAACGTGATAAAAATTACACAACACACAAAACGTCCCAGCTGAGTGTCATTACAATTAAAGAGAGCGACGTGTACCTGCATATCGTTCCAATTAAAAATCCGAAGAGAAAAAATAACAGGACGGAAAATAATAATCCGCCGTCACATCTGACAGTCCCCGTGAAAACAACACGTCGCGACACCCTACACGTACACCTCCATATACGGAGGGGTTCCCGTCCACCGCGAATCGTTCGAGCCGCCTAAAAATCAGGCCACTTGCCACGCAACGTCGGCTCCGGCTCGTCTTAAAAACAGGAAACTTTAATTACTCCGGTGAAACGAGGTTCGCGATACGGCCACCTGACCTTGTAACTCTTTTTCCCCCTTTCGCGAGCCAAGGTGTCGGAGTACATGCGCTCGTTGGAGTATCTCGAAGCGAGGGAGGCCGTCCACGATCACGACGACGAGAAGCAGACGAAGAGGAGTCAACAACTGTCCGCGTCAGAAGAGGCTGCTGTACCGTCTTCCGAGCAAAGATGAACCTGCGATCGGTAGAAACCTCTGAAACGATCGATCCTTGGACGAAAACGGACGGGCGGAGTACCTACGCGGATGCTGTTTCGAATGGTTCGATCGCCTGTAATAGCGGTGTCAAGCATTTGCTCTTTCTTTCTCCCCGGTTCGATCGAGAAGGATCGCTCGCGGAGATGTTCGAATAAAGAATAAAGACAGAGCACAGGAAATTGTGTTTGGTATTATCGGGAGAGCGTATCGATATATTACAGCCCGCAGAGGCATTTCGTCGGGCTAGCGAACACGGTAACGAGGATGTTCGAAGGTAATTTTCATTAGACGTTTATCAGATTTTTCGGCGCGTATTTACGGGACGTGATTACGCGAATATTCCAAGGATGCTGAGAGAGGCCTGTGCGTCACCGGCCAGGCATCGGTGATAAGTAACGAATTTTAACGCTATCAGATCCCCTGTATTTGGCGAAACGAAGGTTTCCACGGATTTATCGAGGAATTTTTATCGTACAGTAGTAAGTAGGTATCTGAAGGATCGAGAGATGTGTTACTCGTTTAGTTGAAACGAGGCACTCTCTGTTTTAAAAGTGAAAAGGTGCACGCGTATCTCGTGGTTCGTTACAATGAACGAATCGACAAACAAAGGAATAAGAAATTTGGTAATAAACCGTGTTGGGAACGATAGAATTCTTCCGATTCCCTGGATTTCTAACTTTTCCCTTTTCTTTCTCCTTTTTTTCTTCTCGTCCGGGTGTATACCGGTTAGAACAATGGCCGCACAGTTTCGCAGGAACTTCGATCGTTTTCAACGGGTATCTGACCGGTGGTATCGCGAAACGTAAGGTCAGGGTGGACATGATATTTCCTGTATCGAGTGTACAAGACAAAGGAACAAAAGGCCTCTGTCAAAGTACGCGAAGCGTGTAACTTGCCGCGGGTTAAGAGGAATGACCACAATTTGTTGATCGTTAACACGAAGTTAACCAACTCTACACTGCTAATTACCATCGAACAAAGCTTGTCCTTCTTTAACTTCTCTACTTCTTCTATTCTTCTCCTTCTCCTTCGTTTCTCTTCTCTCAAATACATCTTTGCAGATATACACTCGATCCTGTGTGCGTATGTACCAAGGTGCATAATTGATAGGTTCCCAGGTTGCGTACCGTTTCCGCTCTACGTACAACGCGAACTTATCTGGACTGACGTGCGCAGTTACGCGTGTTTTTATTGCCGTACGATACGTGCCTATGATTTACGATACCACGAGCCACCGTTGCCGCCGATCCTCAGACGTATTTTGCAAACGCGATCCCGATAAGCAAAGCAGTCACAAGAAGAGGACGTTGGAATGATCGTTGCCAAGGCCGCGGAGAAAGTGCTCTTCTACCAGAGACGTGACTCGGCTGGAAAACGATTCGTCCAGAAACCGTGGATTCGTGATAATCGCGCGAACACGTTGCTGTTGTTGTTTTGTTGCATCTGTTACCGTAATTGGACAGTCGGAAACGGGAGGATCTCGGGTCGCTCGTTGCGAAACGATTTCGCGAGAGCACTTTCCACGGACGGAAAAGTCTAATTTGGTCTGGATAAAATCGTGAGCGTGAATCCTTGTCGTGCAACGAAAAAGAAAAAAGAAGGATCGTTGCGTAATTTTAAAAACACGGACAGCCGCACACGCGACATCGTTAATCGCGATCAAGTTCGAACGAACGTGTTTCGGAAGTTACACTCGGGTCTTGCATTTGCGCAATGTTTCATATTTTCTGGAAAAATTCTCAGTCGAATTGGTTTGATAAAGTGAAGTCGATCGGTACCATGGATGAAAACGTCGAAAGTACGAGATACGTGGCCGTATCGCGTTTTTTAAAAAGGAAGAAAAGGAAACTCTTCGGTTCGTACGAATTGAGTTGAGAGTTAGAGTGACCTTGACACGACCTTGAATATCCATCGAGTGACCTTAATGACCGTGCGATATCTCTCGGATTACTTCCGCCTGTTCCGCTCCCTAGGAGACGTCTCTCCAAGAGAGATACTTTCACTTCAAAAATACACCTACTTAAAAATGTCTGAATGTTTACACAAATATTTACTCAAGGTATTATCGCTTGTTTCGAATAAAGACGTGGAATTAAGGTGCGATTATTTCTAACGGAACGTCTATTGAAGAATCCGCGGGGAACCCATTTCCGCACTATCAATCGTAATCCCGATATTTGATTTTCTTCGCGGAAAACCAGCTTGCACAACGTGCTCAGACAATAATGATTCGGACGAAGGATCAAGGCACATTAGCATGTGAAAGATAAGCCTACAAGCCGGGCATGGTCTATTCCACGGTGTCTAGTGTTCGTCAATTGACCAATCCAACGATGGTTTTACATCTCCGTTCGATGATGTCAGTGATAAACTGCTGGCGGTAGTTTACATAAGAGATAAAATTGTTTGCGAA